GGTGGGGGTGGGTCCATATGTGGAGGAGGAGGTGGAGGAGGAGGTGGCTCAAGCTATGGAGGAGGAGGAAGCACTGGCAGGAGAGGCTCGATCTCAGGCGGTGGAGGAGGAGGAAGCTCAGGTCATGGAGGGTCCATCTCTGGTGGTGGTGGGTCCATATGTGGAGGAGGAGGTGGAGGAGGAGGTGGCTCAAGCTATGGAGGAGGAGGAAGCACTGGCAGGAGAGGCTCGATCTCAGGAGGTGGAGGAGGAGGAAGCTCAGGTCATGGAGGTGGGGGATCCCATTCTGGTGGTAGCTGTAGTTCTGGTAGTGAAGGTTATGGCTACGGAGTTGGGGGATCCAGTTATGGTGGCAGCTGCAGCTCTGCTTGTGGAGGGTATGTCTCTGGAGGTGAGGGTGGTTATGGGGGAGGAGGCTATGGATCTGGAAGAAACAGCCCTGAAGATGGGCCTGGAGAATGCACCTCTGGAGGAGGGTGGACTTCTCGAAGGAGGGGTTACAGTTCAGTCTATGGAAGTGGCTCAGGTTCTTCTGGATATGCTTCCCACGAGTGATATCTGCATGGAGAAATCTACCAGTAGAATGGGAAGAAGGCATTCCCGTTGCTACTGGCGTGAAGTGTGGCTTTCCTGCCCACCACAGAGTCACCACCATTCTGACTGCGTTGCAGACAATCCTGAGGTCTCTTTTCCTTTTGCCGTCTCCTGAGTTGTCCACCCACACACCTCTGTTGTATGGCAGTGCTGTGGGGGTTGCTATGATTTTCTTAGGCTTTCTCTGAGTCCTTCAGCTCTGGCTGTTTGGGATCTTCGTCTTCGGCAACTAAAGGCTTGAAACTCTGTCTCTTGTGTGTGTATTGGTCTACGGGAGGGCACAACTCTCACGTGTATGAAGAGATTTTTGAGAGAACTCTTTAAATACATAAACCAGTTTGTAGAGATCTAATCCAGCCTCCAGAAAAAAATTTGTGAAAAAGTGGAAGGTGTTCACAAAAGAATCTCTTTTGTTTGTGGGGGCCAAAAGCTGAACATCTGCTCTGAAAATGGGTTTCAGGGCACCGGTGCTACTGGCCTAATCCGGGCGGTCAAGCGAGGTGTGTAGCTACATTTTGGTTCCTTCCTTCCCTCCAGGCATCACTCACTAAATAACCAGGGGACGGATCGAATCCTCCATGTAGGTTTTGGTAGCGTTGTAGCTGCAGATAAAGAAAGGACAGAAAGTCTCTGAACAATGTCTTCTTATCTCAATTCTAGTCTAGTTCTTCCCTCTGGGGTCCCAAATCTAAGTTGGATGGTATGTACCCAAGTAAGCTTTTTTTTGGCCAACATCTTATTCAATGGTTGCTTCTATGCAGAGGAAGCAAGATGTTTTCTAAATTTCTCACAGAATCTACTTTAAGTCCAGTCAAAATTTCTAACGAAGAGTAGAGCAGCTGAGATTACTGGGAAAGTTTGTTCCAGGAGCTCAGTGCAACAGTGTCATCTTGGTTTAGCAACACTTCTCTCAGAGAACTGGAGCGTTGTAACCCCATCGGGAAGATTTCATGCCTTCCCCAGTTGGAGGGAAGGTAGGGTCCTTTTCACTGTTGTTCGAGGAAATCCAACTGTGAAGAGTCCTGGCGGTGGCAGCCAGCAGGGAGCTCGTCACCAGGGAGTGAGATACTCAGCTTGGTGGGAAATCCACTGTGGGGACCCACTTGCAAACGGCTGTAGAGCCGTGACAACAATTAGAGAAGGGTGATGGGGAGCCGCAAAGGGGTAAATCAAACCTTTAATATCATGGTCTGGAAGCAGTCACGAGTACCCTGCGTGTGGGGAGATCTAGACGCTGTATTTCAGTCCAAACCAGGCTATCATTGCCCTCATCGAACACAAAAAGCCCTACGCAAGCTGGGAGCGGTCAGCTGTGGCAGTGGAGATTGTGTTGGCGAGGCCTGCTGAGATAAGCCTGTGTTTTCACCTGCATGGCCTGCATCCCACAGATTCGGCGTGTGGGCGGTGTGAGTCTACCCTGGCTTGCAAACGCCGTGCAGAGCTCCCCTGCGACAGTTTATTCACCCTGTTAATGGCTGCTTCTGCTTCACTCACTGAGACAGCTCAGTTCTTCAGGATCCAGGTGATAAATGAGCTGCGTCATCACAACCCCATTTTTCACTGAGAGAGTAGATACAACTGCTCAACCAAGACAAAGCCTCCCCTGACAATCAAAAGTGGAAGCTGCGAAAGGTCATTCTGCACACTACCGGGTCCTGTTGGGCTTTCGTTTCACTGTTAAATTTATTACGTCGACGGTGCCTATGGCTTTTCATCTCTGATCAGAAGAAATAAAGAATAAATACGAACACTGTGGTCAGGTCTGTGGGTTGTTTTACTGATCTGTTCTGTAGAGGGAAAGGTTGAAGAGGAAGAAGGTAGAGTCAAAGGCGAGAAACAGGCACTGCTAGAGGCAATTTGAAAGACCCGATCTGTGCATCCACCTCGGTACGGGATGAATCGCCTGCTGGAGATCAGACAGACCGTCTGTTCCAGTCGACCACGGCCGGAGCCTGGGAGAAGAGCTTAGAAGAGAGATTGCTAACCCCCAACTCGTATGACGGGCTGGATCAGCACTTCCACTGAGTGGTTTTAAGTACTGTTTACGCACTGGTAGTACATAGCCTTAAGTGCTGGGCTAATTTAGTGGTATGGAATGGTTTGGAAGGCTACATCAAAACCTGTTCTGCTTGTCAGCTAAGCTATAATCATATCTCCAGTTTCGGGAGACGAGTGTTCTGGCACCTCCTTCCATACAAAACTATCCCTTTTTAAGCAGAAGTGAAAAATCTGGCTCAGGGTTTCTGTTGTCTGAAAATATAATATTTTTAAAATTCTTAATTATTGCTGTTCCTTTCCTTCAGCAGTTATGCGGCCCAGCTCCTGCTAGCACCTGTCAGGAGGCTGTGTATTTGGGTCTGTTAAGACCAAGGCTGAGACTCAGGTCTTTGGACCATACAGACTCAAGCCATGGTGATCAAGCAGACGATGTTCTTTCCACCGCCACAGCACATGCAAAGTGTGGAGAGTGGCTAGAAGAGGTGCAGTGTCAATAGTCAATATGGGGATGGGGACATGTCCACTGCTGAATTCTTGTGTACCCAACACTAAACTGCTTACGTCAATTAGATATTGCCCGTGCATTTTTGATGGAAAATGCCACAAGACAGACTGCCTAAGGCTGTGCCTAAAGACATTTTGATTTTTGAGGTTCAGCGGCTGAGCTGAAGTGAAGAGAAGAAGTTCACAAGATGGCAGCTTCAGGTTCACGACAGTTAATGTCCTGGGGCATGTATTATCAGCTGTCACAACACTGTAAACGTGCTCAGGATGCAATGCTGAAGGAAGGCATCTACTGACACCCTGTGTCTGGGCACAGCTTGAGCCTCCAAGAGTGTTGACGTGATGAGCAGGATTTCAGGTATGAGGGGTGGATGCCAAGGTGGGGAAGAACATGGCAGGAGGTCAGTTGCCATTAAACCTGGTGGTAACTCATTTTCAGTGTTATTTTTCTGCCAGAGGTGCACTGCTGGATGGACACATATTTTACAAAACATCCCAGGTTCGTAGCCAACTTCAGAGTGAAACTCCATATGAAATCTCACCTTCTTGCAGGACTGAGGACCTTGTTTGTCCCACGCTGTCCTGGCTTCCACATATTGCCCTCTACAGTCGCGAGCTAGCTCTTGCTAGTGGTATCCAGAGAGGTTTTTGAGCGCTGAACTAGGTGTGAACAGGCTCATGTCACCACTAAGCTCCCAACCAAGATCCCATGTGTACAGGGAGGCTCAAGACGCATTAGATACCACCACCTAGTGGGAGCAGAAAGTTGTACCACAGCGAGGAAGAGCTGGTCTCTGCGCCAGCTCTCCCAGTCTCGCTCTGACTGACTGAGTTTTGGGCTTCAGCCCTCTTCCCTGTGCAGATGTGGCCAGGACAGGAAGTTCCCTCCGGATTTACTTTGGCAAAAAAGTTCTGAAATTAGTCAGGGCTACATTGTGGCACCATGAAAACTGTTGGCCTCCTACCTTAGTTGCTGGGCCTCTTTCCAAAATTCCTGGTGATTAGGAGTAAATTAATGAGCTGTGGTTACCCTGAGAGCTACTCCCCTGGTGCCCCCATACAGATGCAACCCCTCCCTCCCCTGAGAGGGAGCTGCAGCAAACATAATTGCTCTGACGTGAATACACTGAGTTCCATCAACCAGATGAAAGCCAGTGGAGGAGATCTGGCGTATTTTAAACCTGGAGACTCTCCACTGTCAAACGACACAAAAAACCTCTGTCTCCCACAGCAAATTGGGTGGGATGAGTTGAAGTTGGGAGAGGAGGGCAGAGCTGACCTTGTGGTCCTCTAAACTACGGCCTGAGCTGGGCAGTTGAGAACAGCCCAGGGTTGCATCAGGTGGCATCATCTGCCTTTTGGGGACTCAGGGTCATCAGGGGACACCAGGACTCAGAGGTGAGGCTGATCCGGATGGATGAACCTGTTGCCATGTCTAGGGGTGTGAAAACCCAAGTTCAGAAGTTTTGCTTATTAAAGTGTATCTATGGGAGGAAAACTTTTGAAACCATCCGTGACCCTGCAGGCTCTAACCACAGCAAGGAAACACAAGCTCTGAGCTAATGCTTTCTTGCTTGAAAGGAGCCAAACTCCCCTTGCCAGCAGCAGGGCCAGGCAGATTGCTGTGAGACCATCGCCCCCTGCTCGGAAGGCGCAGGAGACCACCAGGCATGGCGGCACCTCCTCACCCGGGCCGTGCAGGCGCATCCAGGGGATGCGGTGGGAGACCACGGAGGGACAAACTGGAAACACAGAATGAAGACCAAGTTAGAGCAGCTCTGGGCCAGGTGCCCTCCTCCCGGGCTCCAATCCTGCTCTTCCAGCTGGGATTGCCATGGACTCTGCCTCTGTCTAAGCAGCCAAGTGAGACACCCAGGACTTCAATCATTCCTAAAAAATTCCTGCTCTTCTGTGTGTAGGTGTAATTGATAGTGCTGTCAAGAACCTGCAATTAAGCTAGTTGTCTTTCCAGCTACTTCTTACCATCAATCATCTCTCTTGCTGGGCTAAGGGCAAGATGTTCCAGTGCAGAACATTTGCAAATAATGAGGTACAAGGAAACTTTTGGCATCAGCCACACTTGGAGACAGAATACCAGCAAGGTTTCTGGTAACTGGTTTCATTCTTCATCAGTCTTCTTATGAAAGTTGGTGAAAAAGCCCTCCAATGAGCTCGGGGAGCGAAAAAAAAAGAAAGCAAAAAAATCTCTGCAAAAAAAATGAAAGAAATAAGCAAGAGAAATACTATCAAATGTCATGGGAATCTGAAATGCTTAAAAGTGTGTTTGCCAAAAAACCTGACCAAGGCTTGAGCCTATTGAAAAAGTTAAGGCTTAGTACGGCTCAATAGCAGGGGAAAACAGTTTCTTTCAAATCATCTGAAATGAAACCCTTTGCCTTCCTCTGTTGAAAGAGACCTTGGCAAGAAGCCACAGAGATGTGATCTTGGCTCCATCTCTGAGGTATTGTGAGGCTCCCAGCAAATGCATTAAACTTACCAGCCTTTTCTTCCCTGTCCGTCAAGAAACTCCAATAAATCTTTTTTATTTGCCTTGAGATATCCCAGGGGTTTTAATTACAACCTCAAGAAGAAAGGACAGTGGCAGAGAGTAGCCATACAGCAGCTGCATTCACGAGGTACTTTTGCAGGATGCTGGTTGCTGGTGCATTCATAGTCTGCCCACCAAGACCAAGCCTACCGCTGCTTCCAATTAAACAATCAACAAGCACCCAGTTAACAGCCTTGTGGCCGAGCTGCCTGTCTTCTTGGCTATTTATTGTCTTCTCCATGTGAGTCTCATTTTTTGATGTGTTCTACACAATCAGAGCCAAAAGCTTAATGAGAAGATACATCTACGCTAATCCATTCTTCTAAAAGTTGGGCATGTTAGGCCGAGCTGGTCGCTTCAGACTTTCTTGGACTCAGTGAGGAAGAGGAAGGTGCTCTCTCTCGCAGTATCTCAGACATGCCTGTCTCTCAGCAGACCTGTCATCCAAAGTTAGAGGAAATGGGTTCTGCCCAGTCAGTCGTGGTCTGTAACTGAGGATGGTGTGTGGAGGGCTATTTATAAAAAAGAAGAATTTTGCACTCCTGTAGGAAGGAAATCTGCATGTCTGGTCCACGCTATGGTTCCCATCTTCCAAGCCGTGGGCTGCCTTTGGCTATGCCTCATGGACTTCTACTGTCCCTTGTGAAGTGAGTGACCACGAGAAGAACAGATACTGCAAAAAACACTTTTAGTTTGCCGTTCAACGGAACATTCCTTTACTGACTGGCCTTGACAGAGGGAGATGCTCTTAAGGCCATTTGCTAAACTGTGATCAATGCAAGGAAGGAGGACAAACTAAAACAACAGAAGAATCCTCACAAAACCCAGCCCACGGGATCCTCCCAGCTGAGTATGCAAGCAAAGCAATTTAAAAACAGTAAAATTCCATAGGATTTCACAAATGTTTGGAGTTGTGCATTGTTTTGCATATTTCAGCCTATGAATTGCTCCCAGGCAAGGCAAACCCCAAGAAAACCCAAATTATTAATCTGCCTCAACCAAACCCCACTTCTGCGCTGAGTATAAAGGAGGTGCTCGGGGCTGTTGGAGCAGAGGGGCACCTTTTGGAGCTGCACGCTCTGCAGTCCTCCAGCATCCTCTCCTCCATCACTTCTGCCAGCATGAGCCAGCTGTTGTCAGTGCAAAGGTCTCTTCATGTAAGAAAGTTCTGCTCATCCTCTTCTGCTGCGAGTGGCACGAGCCGCTGCCGAAGCAGTGCTTTCCCCTTTGCTGTGCTGTTCAGCAGAGGTTATGGAACCTGGAGCCACAGCAGCAAAAGCCTCCAAAGCATAAATGGGGGTAAAAGGATTTCTTCTGGCTGAAGCCTTGCACAGGGGGTCCGTGGAGGCTGGGGATGCAGGGGCATCCATGCCAACAGTGAAGGTGGGAGTCATGGGCCAGGCTTCCACAGCAGGAGCTGCGGAAGTGAAGGTATTCGTGTGGTGCACTTCAACGAGAGCCTGATGCAACCTCTTGATGTGAAGGTCAACTGCGAAATCCAGCACATCCAAAAGCAGGAGAGAGAGCAGATGAAGAGCCTCAATAACCAGTTTGCCTCTTTGATTGACAAGGTGAGAGCTGAGACAAGACTTAAAGGAATGATGGAGTTTATGTGTGAAGGAAACCTTTTTTTCTCAGGTCTTTGATTCCTCTCTTTCTCTCGTCCTATTACAGGAGCCTTGAGCTGGTATTAGCATGCATGGCTCCAGTACCACGCACTTCAAGTGCAGATCTAGCTGATTATGTTATTTTAATCTGGTTTGTGGGCTTAAGTGCTTTGATAAGATGCATCTGTTTTTATTATTAACAGTGGAAGGGAGCTGTTCCTCCAAGGTTACCAAGCTTCTGCACTGTCGACTTCTCTCTGTGCAGCTAGACCTTGTAAAGTGGCATTGTCTCCTCTCAATAAAGGATGGTTTCCTCTATCAGCTAACTGATATTTAGATCGATTTTAAATATTCTTATTATAAATATGTAAAGTTACTGTAACTGCCACAAAGGCTATGCTGTCTGGGGCTTTCTTGGAGAATGGGAGCACAGCAAACACAGTTTGCTGTAGGATTATAAGGTTACGAAGATCGTAATGCCCCACTTTTGTCCTCTCCCCTTCAAACCATAAAAGCCCCTGGGGCATCGACTCCAAAAAGAAGATGCCTTGTTTTGCCCCGCGTTTGTCTAGTCCCCATACAATGCTTCTAAGCATGTGCCTGAAGAAGGTGGCTTTGTTTTCTTCATACAGGTACAGCATCTGGAGCAGCAGAACAGGATATTGGCCACCAAATGGACCCTACTCCACAAGAAGGCCCTGCCATCCCGGCAGAGCATCAAGCATGTCTTTGACAACTTCATTGGCCTGCAGAGGTGGCTGGACTCACTGCTGCATGAGCAGGGATAGATGGAGCCTGAGCTGAACAACATGGAGAAGATCGTTGAAGAGATGAGATGCAAGTGAGTGAGCAGAAACCAACCCCAGGGCAGTGAGCTCAAACAGCTTGTCTAACTGGACTTTTATTTGTGTCCATACAAATAGACTTCTCTGTAATAAAAGGCTGAGATCCCAAAGCACCCTGACCCCTAAATACCCACGCAAACAAGCTCTCTGGTCTCAGGATAACCCAGCAACCTCTCACTCCTATTCCCCAGCAGATACGAACAGGAAATGAATGGATGCACAGCTGCCAAGAAGGAGTTTGTGTTACTGGAGAAGGTAAGGAATTTGGACAAATGGAAGGGTTGGATGCAGCGATCCACGGAGTTTACTCTGATCTGCTCCTTGCAAGACAAGGGTCAGTTCTTGAGAATGTTAAAAGTCATTGGACAAGTACGGATGCAGAAAAATGTGTCACAAAGCATTGCCAGAGAGCATTAGACCTCTGCCCTTTAGCACGGAAAATGCATTTCATTCTAAGCTGATAGCTTGCTAGTCCTCATGCCCAAATCATGATGTTTTTCAAGCAAGAACTCAGCGATATTGTATGCTTTTGGGACCCCTCAGCTGTTGCTGTTTGGGGGATATCTGAACTTCCCAACTACACTTCCTAAACAAAATTCATTACTCTAAAGACATAATTAAATTGCCTTAGGTCTCTGTGTAGGCACCATTTTGACTTCTAAAAGTCTGGGAACTCTTTTGGGATGTGGACTGTGTGTATCTGACCAAGGCAGAGCTGGAAGCACATCTGGAAACCCTGAAGCAGGAGATAGGGTTCCTGAAATGCGTGTCTGCTCAGGTATGGATGCTCTTGTCAAATTCTTGCTTTATTGCAGCTATTCCTACCAGCCGCTCCTTGCCTACACTGATTTAGGCCCAATTAAACCAATCCATCAGGCTTTCTTTGGGAGGCAATGGGAATCCCAGATAAGGTAGACTGAGATCTCCAAAATCCCCTCAAGTTTCATGTGTGATCAAATCTAGTCTCAGCTCCTGTGTGGCTCAGGTCAGGCTCTCAGTAGTGGTGGTACTTCCTCTGGAGTATGAGACGAGAAATTCAGTGACAGAGGCATACTGACAGCGTACTGCCACTTCACAGGACTTCTAGGAAGTCTCTGAGCTGGAGAGAAGTCCCCGTGACACCTCTGTCATTATAAAAATGGACAACAGCTGAGGCCTGGACATGGAGGGCATCCTCAGGAGTGTTGACTGCTGGTACAAGGACATAGCTCAGAAAAGCGAAACAGAGTTGGACACGTCATACAGCACTAGGGTAAGCTGTAGCATCCAGTGACATATCCTTAATTTTCTCACTGTCAAAAGTAGTAGTGCAAAGGCAGTGATTTGTTTCTTTCTGTCTTCACTGTAACTTTGGACCTAATTTTCCATTCTGCTAAACTGTGTGAGTCCCAAAGTCAGGAGAACGTCCCCAGAACGGACACAGCACAATGGGACAGGGCTCAGTCATGCTGGGAATGAGGAGGCTGGAGGTGAGTTGAACGGTGAAGGCTGTGGGAGAAAAGCTCCATTTGCTGCTGAAAGTCTCAGGGGCTGCAAAGTTGTGAGGACTTGTCTGAAGCCAGTTCAGTTCATGCTGGAAACAGAAGTAAGACTCCTATCTTCAGTGCATGCCCAGTACTAAATTGCCAACTCTCTCTTTTCTTACTCTCAGCTCCAAGAGCTTGAGGAGGCAAAGGGGAGACATTGCAATAAACTGAAGTCCCACCAGAAACATATTGAAGAGCTGAGTTTTGTGATCCAGAGAAGGCAGTGTGACCTTGCAAAAGTGAAGAAGCAGGTATGATGGATCATATTTACTCACTGGATCCTGGACGTGAGATGCCCAGTCATGTTTATCAAAGAGCACTGCCTCACGCCGGTCCCATTGGTCTAGAGAAGATCTTACCTGTGCTGAGCAGGGAAGGAGAATTATCTGTGAGCCTATTTTCTGTTGGCTCATTTTGATTATTGCAAAGAGCTAATTGCACCAAATTAGATCATGGGATTAGCTGCAGCCACTTGGAAAATTGTTAAAATTGCTCCAGCAAGAATTCTGGCAGGACACAATGCTTCTGACACAGGTTCAAAGCATCCAATAAGTAAGGTAGAATTATGACTCACCAGTAATTCAGCACCCATAGAAACTGGTATAATTTTCAGACCATCTAATTCATTACATAGTTTATAACGGGAACTAATGGAAAACCTTAATTATTAGTTCCAATTAAAACAAAGTATTGGTGTCCTCAAAACAAGACTTAAACACAGCCTGGCAGTACAGGGACCTGTCTGGCCTTTCTGTAGTATTTCAGAATTGATATTTGATGATGGGATCATCTGGCTTTCATAAAAACAACCTCAATACTTCCCAGTTTGGGACTCTCAAAAGAAGTGAGAGTTTCTCTTTCAAAGGTGAGTATGGCAAGAAAGAGGGCAGGGAAAAGTGTCTCCCCTGACAGGTGTCCTCTCTGCAAAGATCACTGTGTAATACGGAGCAGTGTGGGGACTGTGCCCTGAAAGATGTCAAGAAGAAGCACGTCGAGCTGCAGAATGCCCTCTGGAAGGCCAATGGTGAGCTGGCTTGCATGCTGTGGGATTACCAAGAGCTGCTCAATGTCGAGCTGGCCCTGGATATCAAGATTGCAACACACAAATCTCTCCTCGAGGGTGAAGAGAGCTGGTGGGTACCACTACAACTACGTGTGGGCAGTGTTCAATCCTTGGGACTCTTCAGCAGAGGCAAGGAGGCTGGAAAATGCCCCAGATGCTAGTTACGTGATGGATAACCTTGTGACTTTCTTCTCCTTTAGGATACACCTTGGGAGCCCTGTGAGAGTGTGCTGTCTACGTTCCTTACAACACTAAACAACGTAGTTCTGGTTAGCAGGGGGAGGAGGAAGGCCGTGTCCTCCCCATGAGTGATTCAGCTTGTGTTTTCCCATGGCAGTGGTCACTGCCCCTTGTAACACCGTCTCTGGCTGGGAAGACAACCTGGGATATGGATCCAGCAGACAGTCCAGAAGATGCAGGTCCTCCAGCAGCGCTGGTAGAGCATCCCCACCTGGAGACGCTGCTGCATGCCACAGCGGATTTGCCTCCAGAAGCATTGCCAGCTGTGTAGGCAGGCAGTATACCCCTGGTGAGCCCGTCTGCATCCCTGGGAGAGAAGAATTTAAGGCCAGAGGTGGGGGCCATTCGTGACACAGCTCAGCCCCTCCAGGTGCTGGTGAACTCTTCAAAAACAGCAGGACTGCAGGGAGCTATGGAGAGAGCTGCAGAGCTGCAAAGAGTGCAAGAAACTCAGCTCACCCCCAAGGGATGTGTTGGCCAGGGGTTAGGATTTCAGCTGGACCTCCACACCCCAGGAACACCTGGATCTCAACTTCAGCTGTGAGAGTCAAGACAACCAGGACATAAGATCTAAAGCAGAAATATGAAAGCCCTGCTCTGCTTTCAGTGGTAAAAATGTCCTCATCTCCACCTTACACACATGGAAGAGGCATACTGGGTAGAAGAACTTGGTAGCACCATGAAACCACATCAGAGAAACTCTACCTGGATCACATCAAAAAAGGGACACTTTAAACATACTCCTTTTGATTTCTGCTGTTTCTTTAAAGGGATGGTGGTTGTGTTGGGGCACTTATCTTATTATCACTCAGTTCCTGCTTCCCACCAGCCTTCTTTCTTCTCCTGATTAAGCCTTTGCTATCTATGAAGCAAGTTGTGATATTTAATTCTGAACCATTTCCCTGGAGTGCTCTGGGAAGCGTTTCTGGAAATGAGCTCTCTAGGACTCACCGTTTCATCAAAGTCTATCTGACGTAAGTTTAGGCAAGTCAGTGGAGTTGCAGTCGTGAAACACACAGGGCAGAGAGGAGGGGCAGGACTCCGGTGCTGTTCTTTGTTCGCTGTCTCGGAGCAGTGTGGTCATCCATATGCAGGCAGGCAAGTCATAAAGGAAATCTCAATTAAAAAAACCCACATTTCACCTTCTATAGTCAGCAAAGAGCAATTGCGTCGCTTGTACTCCTATTAGCTTCCTCGCTTCGTGTCCAGACATAAGCATAAATTACAGCACCCTCACTTCTATCTTGGTGACTCAAGAGCTTTAAACATTTTGCTCTTTTTCCAGTTAATTGCATGGATAACAAATGTGTTACCACCTGGTTTTTATTGTTTGCCAAGAATACAGAAATGCACTATTCCTACATTTGAGAAGACGTATCTGCTGATTAGAAGTCTTCACAATTCAGCAGGGGTGGCAGGGCTTCCCAGAGAGTGTCATGCAGATCCCGTCTTTGGTTGGCGTACATTATGGAAGCCTTTTAAAGTCAGCTTATTTATGCGGATTTGCACCACATTTGGCTCCTACCCAATGCCATTCAATGGGTGTTTTAAGATACACAGAGAAGTCATCTCAGACTCTTTGCATTTCTATGGTGTGTCTGCCACAGAGGTGTGATGATAAAACGTATGTTGTACCTCTTCAAAACCTGCTGTGATAGGGTCATTATAGGAAAAAACCTCAGGAATGTGCTTGGTTGCTTTTTCCCCGTATCATTTTAGAAATCCTACAACTACCAATTTAGGATTTCAAAACAGATCAAAGGGAGATATTTTATTGTACATTTGAGCAGATTAAAAAAAGAAGCCAACAAATTAGGAACATAAGTCAACCACAAAGGCCTAAAGTGTTTTGTGATTAAACAGATGAAAGCCAATGAGCAGAACAAAGAAATGAACCATACAGAGGCAAGTTGGACAGATGCGTGTTTTACCAAAGGGGGAATCCAGAGGGAAGGTCTTTCCTATCCAGAGCAGCTACTGTGATTCAGACCTGGAAGAGCTTTCTTCCCTCCCCTAATTCTCATGTGATAGAAAGCTATTTCCCGATCAAATATAAGAAGCACGAAAGAAAACAGTCACAATATTTAAAGAAGAAAAACACAAGAAAGATTTGACAAGAAAAGAACAATAGAGTAGTCATAAATATTCATTAGAGGGATTGAAGTATCTCATAAAGGTTATGGTGTTCCCACTGAAAATAGATGATCTTGTCACTTTTTACGCAAGAGAAGAAGTCAGGGAAATAACACAGAATTAGTGTTGCTTTCTCACCTGCAAACTCTCCTGTCACTGTTTCAAGACCTGATAAATTAATTTAGCAAGAGCTTTACTTTAAACCTGTGACCAGTCTCTCTGAAGATCAGTGCTTTGTGAATCAGCCAGGCGTTCCACCAGAAGTGCAGCAGTACATCACAAAGCTGCACAAATAAAATCAAACTTGGGCTTAAGCGTGAGGGCTTCAGCATAAGAGAAGGAAGAGCCTATCTCCTGTTGGCTGAAGATGCTTCCCAGGAGGAGCTGACCCAACATCCATGGGCAATTCCTTCCTTCTATATGGCTCAGCGAATCTCTTCTGGCCAAGAAAACAGCTTCAGTTGGAAGGGATGAGAGCTCCTGCAGATTTATAGGGAAGCTGCTGTAACATAACAACAGCTGCAATATTTTTTTTTCCTTTTTCTAATCCTCTTGCTTTAGCAGGCAGCGTGATGCCACCCCATTCAGGAGCCCGAGTTCCCATACATTCCACATTCATTTCCACTGTGCGATTCTGTGGGAGGAAGACATCAGCATGAAAAAAATCAAAACAATCCTTTGCTTTGTTGCAAGCCCCAGCTTTACAGGCACTCATCACTGCGCAGAGATATGACATCTGCATACATCAGGAATTGAGCAAATCTAGAGAGCATGTGATGTTCTGTGCTCTCATTAAGACTTCAAAGGTGCTGAAGAAATGTGGCCCCAAAGGGTGGGACTCATTTCACCTAACTTTAACCGTCCAGAAGTGGGGCGCCTGGTCTAGTTGTCTGGTTGTCTAGACTGCCTCTGGGAGTCAACCAGAAGAGAGGCAAGTACCTCCAGAGATGGATTCCTCCCACCTGTCTTTAGCTGCTTATTTTAGGGTGTGATGAATCACCGTCTGGAGATGCCTATCTCTTTCCACTAGCCATAGAGGGAGTCTCAAAGATGAAATTAGAATTCATGGCTAGTTTGATGGCTGGAGTAGGGAGG